CCCTGCTGCAGCAGTGCTCACCAATGCAGTGTTTGCCTGTGCTGCTGAAGCAGTGGTGTGTTGTCCCAGTTCTTCTGCCTCTCTCAGGAGAGGCTGCCAGGCACAGAACCATCCCACTTGGCATGCTGGAGAAAACAGTTGTGGGCAGTGTATGAAAGGTCAGGGAGGAAGAAGGAAAGGGCAGGGGAGGAAAGGGACACAGGAAAGTGACATGCTGAAAAATTCAGTGGAAATGGGGCAGGAATTGGTTTGGGACTACACTGGGAGAGAGGCTGCAGCCCCTGAGAGAGGCTGTTGTGGAGCAGTGATGCACATCTGCTTCCCTCCTCTGCTCCTCCTTTGCCTTTGCTGTTAATACTCCTGCAGTAAATCTCTGAGTAGCTCTGTGCTCACTGATGTCAACCACTGCTGTGGGTCCTGAGTTAGTGTTTATTGCTGAGTGCAAGAGCTCAAACCTTGCCCACCCTGGGAAGGACTTTGCAGTACAGGGAGTTCTTTCTCCCCATAAAAGTCAAGATACTGGCTGCCCCATTGGACTTAAGTTGATAAAGGAAACTCTTCAGCTGTGGATGAAGAGCATATTAGTGAATGGGAAGCTTGGCTCTGATGATTCCATCTCCAAGATGATTTTGGTCTGTGTTTTAATTGTGCTGTTGAAAAGTCAAATTTGAATGTGTATTTGAATACTTGGTCAGGATTAAGGAGCGTTAGTGGCTGGTGGCAGGTCTCTAAGGAGCCTGAAGTGCTGGTGGAGGTGGTGTTGACTGATCTCCTAGCAAAGCACCAAATCCACTCTGTAAGCAGTTGTTTTGGTCAGAGGAGTTATTCCTGCTGCTTAATCTGTGCCTTCCGTGGGGCTGCAGGTGGCTGGGGGGGATTAATGCTGTGAGAGGTGACTGGGTAGGGAGTCTGCTGTCCTGCTTGTCCTTGTCCTTACTGGTCAGAGCTGAGGAGCTGGTCCCTGCCAGGGCTGATCAAGTGATGTGCACGTGCAGTGACGCAGTTCCAGGTAGCAGCTCAGGAGCTGTGGGTCTGATGGGCCTTTCTAAACCAGCCTGAATGCATTTATGATGTTATTTAAGTAAGTTCAGAACTCTGGGATGTACAGCAGCAATAAATAACTGAAGGTGCCAGTTGACAAGAACAGCTCTTAGAGACCTGTGCTAATGAGTTTGAGCATGAGGAGGAGGGCAGCTTAGTTCTACACTCTGTAAACAGCAGAGAGGGAGCATGCTCTTCTGATCTTAGTGCTGAATCACTGCTGTGATCTTGTCTGTGAGCCCATTTAACCCTCTGAACCACAAAACCACTGTGCAAGAACATGTTGGTGGTGACCTGTTAGGGAGCAGAACACTGCCCTGCTGCTGAAGCGATGCCCTTGTGGGCTGCTCATGTTGCCTATCCCTGCTCATTACCCAAATGAGATGTGGCAGTTACCCACCAAAGCCCTGGAGGCTTGCTGCTGGTTCACGTGGGATGCTTCCACTGGTGTTTAATGAGCACATCACGAGTTGCAGTTTGTTGTTCTGGAGTGACCAGCGTGGCTGTGCATGGTGGTGCAGTGGGTTGTCCTTAGCTGACCCGAGCTTAGAGCTGCTGCCAAAGATGTTCAGCCCTTGTGAAAATCAAAGTGGGTTTGCAGTGAAGTGCTGTCCCCTGTGCTGCAAACAATGAGTAACTATGACTTTGTAAAGATAAATAACCTTTATTTTAATCATGTAAACCTGGTGTCTTGTATCTTTCAGATTCCTCTTGTGGCACTTGCAGAATAAGCTGTAAAACTGAAGGCATGGCAGTGACTATCAGGAGTTAACCTTTCTTTTAATGACCTAAGCTTCAGACATCCAAGGTCTTAAAAATGCTTTTATAGATGTTTAAACCAGGGTTTGACATTTGTGACCACTATGGGGTTATTTAAGCAGCCACAACCAACCAACCAACCCAATAAAACCTCTTTGCATCTAACACTTGAATGGGGCTAATCAGGGGGCATTCAGAGAAGCCTTTGTAGGAGTTCTGGGACTTGAGAAATCCAACTGTAAGTAGAACAATTTTAGATTGTCCTGGAATTCCCCATATTTTTGTACCTGTTCATTGAGGTGGGTAAAATGGGACTAGAAATGTTACAAAGCTGGACTAAAAGGACACAGGGTCAGCCGGGGACTGAAAGCAAAGCTACATGTAATGCCCCTCAAGTGACTGGGGTCCGTTCAGTGCTATCCCTTTCATTTCTTTGAGAGCAGGGTTTGGGTGGGAGAGGAGATGGACTAAGAGTGTAAAGTCCTGAAAGAGGGAACTGTTTTGTGTCTTTGTATCACATGTTAACAATGTTGTGAAATAAACTAAGATTTCTTTTATATCTCACAACCAGCTCAGTGCTGCAGCTCTCAGTCCTTTCCTTCAGCAACTGGTGACTCTGAGCCCACGTCCTTTGGGTTTGGCACGTTCTGGTAGAGTACAAAGTCCAGTGAAGCCTGGGCCACCTGCATGTGAGAACAAAGGGGCAGAACGTATTCAGAGGGCACCTGTAATACAGAATTAGTCTGACCCATCCCAAACTTGGGAACCCAGATTTAGATGGCCAAAGCCTGGTCCTGCTGCAACTTTCCCTGCTTCAGCTCTGGCTGCTGGTAGCTTTGCCATGGGGCAGTGTCAGCACATTCAAGTGTTTCACCTCCCAGCATTCAAATGAAAGTTGTTCCTGATTTTCATTTGATTTCAAGTTGACTTGTGGATGGTTTTCAGTAGTGATATGTTGGTAGATGAGCAGTTTTCTTTACCAGCCCCGCACTCTTGCAGCCGCTTTGAATGGTCCTGCTCTGCTCAGCACGTTGGGACATGGTGTGATTTCAAGGTACGTGAAAATTATAACTACCCTTGATGAATATTCAGTAAGAATTGCAGCCAAATTAGTGATGGTTTAATAGTGGTGTGAACTTGACATTGCTGAATACATTGGGTATTCAGTGTTATACAAGACATTCTAGAAGAATGTCTTCACTAGCCCCTTTGTATACATAAATTGGAATCATGGAATGGTTTGGGTTGAAGGGACCTTAAAGCTCCTCCAGCTCCAATCCCTGCCACAGGCAGGGACCCCTTCCACTGGAGCAGCTTGCTCCAAGCCCCTGTGTCCAACCTGGCCTTGAGCACTGCCAGGGATGGGGCAGCCACAGCTTCTCTGGGCACCCTGTGCCAGCGCCTCAGCACCCTCACAGGGAAGAGCTTCTGCCTAAGAGCTCAGCTCAGTCTCCCCTCGGGCAGGTTCAAGCCATTCCCCTTGGCCTGTCCCTACAGGCCCTTGTCCCAAGCCCCTCTCCAGCTTTCCTGCAGCCCCTTTAGGCACTGGAGCTGCTCTAAGGTCTCCCCTTCAGGAGCCTTCTCTTCTCCAGGCTGCCCCAGCCCAGCTCTCTCAGCCTGGCTCCAGAGCAGAGCTGCTCCAGCCCTCGCAGCAGCTCCATGGCCTCCTCTGGCCTCACTCCAACAGCTCCACGTCCCTCTTGTGCTGCTGCCCCAGAGCTGGATCAGGGCTGCAGGGGGGGTCTCCCCTTCACACAGCAGAGGGGCAGGATCCCCTCCCTGAGCTGCTGCTCACGCTCTGGGGGTGCAGCCCAGCACACGGGGGGGTTCTGGGCTCAAGCGCTCACTGAAGCTGGGTCATGGGGAGCTTCTCCTCACCCAGCACCCCAAGTCCTTCTCCTCAGGGCTGCTCTGAGTCTGACCTCTGTGCTTTATGGACTTTGCTTTCACACGCTGTCATCAATGAGGTGGAAGCTGGCCTCTAAGCCAGTAAATCCTGGCTGCTTGTGGGTTTCTATCTCTACTTTCTCTTTCCCCTGGCTGCCTGTTTTTATGCCTGATGACCTTTGTTCTCGAGACTTTTTCCCTGTGGGCCTCACAGGCTCAAGGGAGACATGCAAATCAGTTCATTATGTCAGGCCTATTTGTGCAAGAAACGAGGTTAATAACAGCCTGAGTAAGCCAATGAAGGCAAAGTCCCAGGGAGGGAAAAAATTATCTCCAGTGTATGGATCACTTTAAAATAGGTAAAACGGCAGCAAAGCCATAGTGAGAAGTAGGATCCTCCCAAAGGATCTGTTTAGAAGCAGTACATACTGTGTTAAAAGGATATGTTTTTCAGTGGTCTGACACACTGGGTTCTGTTCTAGCAACCCTCCACGGTTGAGTTACAAACAGGCAGATGAATGTAAAACCAGCTGAAAGATCGCGTCTGCTCGTGCTCACAGTGTGGTGTGTGTAGTTCCTGCTGTCAGTTTTACTGAGGACAAGTCTCCTTTATTAATCTTACTCATGCTAGTACCCAAGAGCTGCTGACTGATCACCCAGCAGTTGTAGCTGTCATCAGTGTATTAGCAGGCTGCTTTAGTTCAATGACTGAATACAGGGTCGTGGGTAAGACTCTTGTATGAATCCCAAAGTTTCAAGTTCAAATGGTTGATTTTGCAATATAACCCTTAGAGGTATGTTGGATAATTAAAATGAGAGAAAATTTTATTGCCACAAGGAAGAAATGACATGAGAATGTTTACTTCCCCAGCTCTTGCATGAAAAGGCAGCTGACAGCAGCAGCCAGTCAAGACTTGGTTCATTGAGTGCAGAATAAAACCCAACTAGACCTGTCTGATTCCTCCCCTTTCTCTCAGGATCTGGGCTGTTCTTACTGGTAGCTTTGTAGAACTGGTTAACCACCTCCCCTCCCAAACCTCCTAACTATAAAGTCTTCAATTTAAAAACTACTGGCATATAGATTAAGATGCATTCAGAAGAAACCACCTCATGCTACAAAGAGGACTTCAGGGGATGGTACCTATTGGTGGTGTTCTCTTCACTGGAGGGTGTAAAGGGGGTATGTGGCTCTTTCACTTCTTTACCTGTATTGCAAATTCATTTATTAAAAGAGAAACATCTGGTAAGAGTTACATGAAATCAAGTTCCACATGATTCATCCCTATGTGCTGTGTCTATTTTACTGTGTGATCTCAGGTGAAGTAGTTTGGGGGTTTTTTTTTGCCCCAAATGCCCTTTTTGTGTGTGTGACTACAGAACTTTATGGTACTTTATTACTGCTTTTTCCAACCAACAGAAACATTCACCCAACTGCAGTGGGATGGGACGGGGCAGAGCCTTCCCAAAGGAAGTGAGGAGTTACTTACCTGCATTCAGTTATTAGTGCTGGTCCTACAGACTGTTAATATTGGTGTAAGGTGTCTCTAGAATAGAGCTATGGGGCCTCTTCTAGGGAACACTGCAGCCTTTCTTCCTCTCCTGTGTTGCAAGGAGGAGTATGATGAGGTCAATGGAAGGATAAAATCTTCAGCTCCTTTTTTATGCAGGTGCCTTCTATGGGAAGAAATCCAGCACAGTTGTTACAAGGACTGAGTATGTCTCTAAAATGAGCTTTGCAAACTGTTGTAATAAACGTCAGCAAATGGCACTTCTGGTTAAAGTGACAACGTTGCAGTGTTTTAACTGTCCTTCACATTCCTAGGGTTTAATGGTGGCACGTATCTCAAGATCCCAGTGTGCTATTACTAAAGTGTTTGAATACAAAGTTGGAAGTCAGAGATTTCAAACATGAAGTCTGGAAGTACAGCTGAAAGGTGGTGTGGACGTTGAGGTCAGCAGTTTCCTGGCAGCTCCACATCTGCAGATGTTGAAGGTGTTATTTCAGTGTCACTGCTTGGTGTCAGGATTTGATGGCTCAGGAGATCCGGGGGAGGATTTCACCCCATATAAAAGCCACAAGTATTGTACCTGGAAAAGAGAAATCACAAGGGTGAGTTTGTGAGCAGCATCTGTTTAGATAACCACATTGGTTTTAGGGGATGTCAAGGGGTACAGCACAGTGAATTGGGCTTTTTGAAGAGTATGTTTTGAAGATCATTCTAGTTTAAAGTTTATTTTGAAGCTGAAAAATACATTATAGAGACTATGGGTTCTTATTAAGAAACACAGAATATCTCAAGTTAGGAAGGACCCAGAAGGATCATAAGAGTCCAAAAAAGGGCACCTGCATACAGTTTAAGACCTTTTTGTTTCTCCTGGAATAAAACTGTATTCTGTCCCAGAAATGAGTGTCAGGTTGACAGCACTCCTCACCCAGAACTTGTACCTTATGAAGCTCCCTACATCACCAGAAAGCTTACTGGAAGGGATTATAGGCAAAAGTCCTTCCCTCTGAGGGTGGTGAGGTGTGTTTTCTTTAATGATGAATCACTGTTGATGAATTGTTATAGACTGTAGCATTTCTCCCTAATCCTGTTCTAAATCCCTCAAGACATGGTTCCGTTTGAGTTAACATCTGATTGTCTGAAGTCAAAAATCACCTGAAGGCTTTGTGCAGAGCAGGATACATCTTGCTGAGTAAGTAGGAGATGGTGTTTGAGAACACCTCCTCTTTGTTTAGATCACTTGCCAAAACCTTCGATCCCAGGCACTTACAACCTGGAAAAGCTCCAAGTGATTTCAGGTAGACATCAGTCAACACACACAAAGCTAAACCTGGAGTTTTATAAGTACCATGTGTTCTGTCAGGACCAGGTGATGTTCACACCAGCTTTGCCTACAACACTTCACTAGCAACCAACTGGAACAGCACACAGGCTTTTATCTTACTTATCAACAGCTTGTTCATACCCTGCTTGGGTATCTTAATGTAGCAAAATGATATTAAAGTGAATTTTAGTTAGCCTAAAACATGTCTCCGTTTTTGACACAAGCAGAACATGCACAGATATAAACTCAAACAAGAAGGTCTTTAACTGGTGCCCTTTGAGATGTTTCCTGTTTATGTTTCATGTCCTCTTGTACCTTCCTTGCCGTGGCACCCCCTAATAGGATTAACAACCAGGGAATAACTCGGGATTAGCAGACAGCTTCTTTATATACCCCCTACACAGCAAGCTCAGGAGCTGTAGGAACTACCTGTGAACAGCCAACAGCACGGAGCAGTTTCATCCGCACACAACTCAAAATCAACAGCTTCCAAATTAAAACTGTCATTTAAGTTAGAGAAAATCTAGTTATACATATTGCTTATTCTTGAATTGAGAAGAGATTGTTTCCAACCACAACTGGGGGAAAAAAACAACAGAATGAGAACTGCAACGTTTAGACACTATGGAGATAAGAAAGATTTGGTATTATAACATAATTGTGAAAGCATTTTTAAGCACTTGTGCTAATACCTATGGGGTTTTTTAATTACTCATCCCTATGTTCTGTAGCAAGACAGAAACTGTGCTAACCAGGATGTTTTTCTTCCTGAACTTAATCAGGCTGATACTCACTTCCAGGCCTCTTCTCCTTTTAATACTCTGGTGGAATCTACAAGTGGGCCCTTGGTCAGTGGGAGCATTTGCAATGTACCTCAAACAGGCTGGACTGTAAGACCAAGGTATAAAGTCCCAAACAACAGGCAGCTCTGAAAGGATCTAGAGTAAATGGCTTTTGGTTTATAACTAACCAGTTAACCCTACCTAAACACTAACCTTTTCCCACATAGGACTGTGCTGGTGTGGTTGGTTGGTAGGCACATTTTCTTGCCCAGAGTGTCCCAGAAGTACTTAGACTTTGAACATAGAATCAGCTGGGTTGGAAAAGATCTTTAAGGTTATCAAGTCCAACCATTCCCCAGCACTGCCAAGTCCAGCAATAAACCATGTCACTGAGGGCTTCATCTACACATGGCATCTAAACTAAGCAATGATTTAACCTAATATGGTTGTTTCTTAAAATGAACTTACTGTAACAGCAGATACTATTTTGTCAGTGAAACTGGTGTTTAGAACTCAGTCTCAGATGCTTGAGTCACAACAGAACACTACAGCTGCTCCACACAGAGCATTACACAGGTTTGAAATCCACAGCATGCGTGTGCAGAGTAAACCCATGATTCTGAATGACTTCTACATAAATGCCTCCCATGGCAGGGGGTTGGAACTGGATATCTTAAAGTCCTTTCCAAGCCAAACCACTCTGTGATTCTATGATGTAATTGACTACGTTCTGCAGTTCATTAAAGCAGCCTATCAAGTGAAGAACACCAGTTCCTGATTTCTGAACCAGGTATGGAATAAGCCTTCCTCACATACATAAAGTATGAAGAACTTACCCAAGGACGGTGCTACCCAGTATACTAGCGAGTAGCTCAGAAACTTCTCATAGAAACAGTGTGGGTGCAATGACAAAGCCAATGCTGGGTTAAATATTGCTCCTGTGAGATTTCCACCTGCAGTAAAATGCAAACAATATGGAATCAAATCTTTATTAACAATTATTCTAAATTAATACTGAAATGCACATACACAATACTAAAAGCAATGTACATCCTGCAATAAAATTAATTAGCAGAAACTATTTGAATGGATAAACTCTTCTGCGTTACTTACCTGATGGCAGGGTTAAGAGTTAACTTTTATTCTAAAATACCTGAAGTGTAGACTGTAACCCCCTTTATCTCTCCCTAGCAAATACTCTTTAAAGAGATGGGTTTGGCTCATGCTGAATGTTTCTGCTGATAAGCTCTTCTGGTCTGTAGCACACTGTTAGAAGAGAAGGGGGAATGGGTTTTAACCTGCCAAAGGAAAGACTGAGCTGAGCTCTTAGGCAGAAGCTCTTCCCTGTGAGGGTGCTGAGGCGCTGGCACAGGGTGCCCAGAGAAGCTGTGGCTGCCCCATCCCTGGCAGTGTTCAAGGCCAGGTTGGACACAGGGGCTTGGAGCAAGCTGCTCTAGTGGAAGGGGTCCCTGCCCATGGCAGGGGTTGGAACTGGATGAGCTTTAAGGTCCCTTCCAACCCAAACCAGGCTGGGATTCTATGAAGTTGTTCCCTGCCCCAGGCCAACCCCCCAGTTTCTATCCTGGGCATGATGTGCTGTGGTATGGAATATCCCTTTGGCTAGTTTGGGTCAGGCATCCTGTTTCTGCTTCCCTCCTGGCTTCTTGTGCCCCTCCTCAGTGGCAGAGCATGAGAGACTGAAAAGTCCTTGATTTAGATGTAAATGAAGTTGCCTCGACATTCTCTAAATAACTAGATCCAAACACATTACGTTGTGGGGACTAAACTGTAATTACACAGCAGATGAACCTGCAGATGTTTCCATTCTGACACATGTTCCTCTCATCACAGTCATGCAGGAAAAGCATTACAGCAAAATCCTCTGTATTTCTGTATTATGAGTTACTAAACACCCCATATCTGTTTTATCTGATCCCATCAAATCTAATTGTGTTTAGTTTCTTAAAGTTCCTTCTTGATTGTCCCCAGATAAGCTCTGCACTCCCCCTGTGTACAAATACCACCTGCTGTAACCCTTGTTTGTATGAGCATCAGTTGCCAAAAGCTTTAGTGAGGTCTTTGCCATTTTCTGTTCTATTTCTCTCTATAGAATATAGCCTCTACATACAGATATTTATACAGAACTGTCTCCTTATGATTTCTTTTACTGTTATTCCAGGTCAGGAAGGTTTTAATCTTTGTTGATCTACTGAGTTTACTCTGGTTTAAATGCGTTCTCCAGTGCAACTCACATTTACTGCACACTTGCACATTTAGTCTGTGACTGTGCACTCGACACATGAAGAACTTCCATGGTTGCCAGGGAGGCCATCTACAGTCATTCCATCTACTTCTGAACTCACTGCTTCTGCTTTTATAGCCGCAAACAGACATTTAAGAGTAGAATTTCATTATCAGGATGCAGCTGCTGTTTGTGAACATAAAACAGACGTTTAGCTGCTGTATTTCTTCAATATTCATGACTAATAACGACTGGATTATCAACCATAGGCTGGGGCCACTTGTATAATCATATTTTAAAATGCTTTTTAGACATCTCAGTCTGTGCACCAGACTTCACGGCAAAAGAGGTGTAACATTTATGTTGTTGTACACAGGAAAAAAGATGAAGTAGTTAGTGCTCCACACACGAGAGTCATTTTAACACCTGAATTTATTAAAGGCAAACCCAAAATTAGGAAGAAACTTGGAATTTAATATATATATGTAATTTTTACTGTGCTATTTTAGGCTCAGAAAGATTTAACCAATTTCATGCAATTCTGACTTCATTGTAAAACTGCTTCTAAATGAAAAAGCCCTCAAAAAGGTGTATTTACACTTTGGCCATGCCAAGTGCAAGGTCCTACACCTGGGTCGGAGCAATCCCAGGCACAGCTACAGGCTGGGCAGAGAAGAGATTCAGAGCAGCCCAAGGAGAAGGACTTGGGGGTGCTGGTCGATGAGAAAATGAACATGAGCCGGCTTCAGTGTGCGCTTGCAGCCCAGAAAGCAACCGTATCCTGGGCTGCATCAAAAGGAGCGTGACCAGCAGGTCGAAGGAGGTGATCCTGCCCCTTTATTCTGCTCTCGTGAGACCTCACCTGGAGCATTGTGTGCAGTTCTGGTGTCCTCAACATAAAAAGGACATGGAGCTGTTGGAACAAGTCCAGAGGAGGCCACGAGGATGATCAGGGACTGGAGCACCTCCTGTATGGAGCCAGGCTGAGAAAGTTGGGCCTGGTTGGATATAAGGAAAAAGTTCTTTACTGTGAGGGTGCTGAGGCCCTGGAATGGGTTGCCCAGGGAAGTGAATTCTCCATCCCTGGCAGTGTTCAAGGCCAGGCTGCACAGAGCCCTGGGTGACCTGGTTTAGTGTGAGGTGTCCCTGCCCATAGCAAGGGGGTTGGAACTGGATGATCTTAAGGTCTTTTCCAACCCTAACTATTCCATGATTCTATGATTCTATTTTTACTCTTATTCTAATTAAATATTTTCCCAAAGGAAATATCCAAAGATAGTCTTTAGCAACATGTATATGGTCTGCATCCTTAGCTTCTGAATCACTCCCTTCATATGCAAAGACATAATGTTCTCTTTTCCCTTCTAGTTTGGAGAAGAAACAGCAAATGCAGAAATGGAGCTTTTCTGCACAGGTTGTGCTGTAAAAATTTGGTCTGTGTAAGACTGGATGTTAAAAAAGATCCAAATATTTTTAACTAGGAAAAAGTAGAAAAAACCCTAAAGGAACGGCTTGAAATTTTGCAGCTCCTGTATAATCTGACATTATTTGTTGCACACCCAAGTACCAATATGGGGTACACACAACAGTGACACGTCAACATTTACTTTTTCCCCCACCTTTACTCAGTCACCATATAAATGTAATTGAATAGTTTTGAGCCCTGCATGTGTATCAATACATTTGGACTGGGATAAGCCACAGGGATATGGGTATCCTTCAAAATAACACCCAAACTAAATTGGAATTGGAGATACTCTTGCTTACAGCCCCTTTTTAGACACCAATTCTTCCACCTACAGCTTTCAAATCCATAGTAGAACATAATTCATAGAATGAAATGTGATGTATTATGGCTGAGGTGTATTTTCTAATGTTTCTGGTTCATTTATAAGTAATAAGCACAGGCCCTGAAGGCACAACTGATGGGGTCTTAAAATCAGAGTGTAAAACCCAAATCAACATGGTTTTATATTGTAGATTTAAGGAGAATGGAGTGTATTGTGGGGAATGTGTGTGTAGATGCGGGAAAAGGAAAAGATCTACCAAGAAAGCTTTGAGAACCTCTTGGTGTCTAAGTACCTACCTAACCTCCCACTGAAAGGAGATCTGTTACAGTCCAAGCCTGTGACTTCATCACAGGAAGAAATGCATAGCAACAGCATTTTCCCACATTTGTTATAACAGCTCCATGATAGGAATCTCTGATTTTGTGCCTTCCTCTAATTCAAGAGGCTTCAATCAACATCTTAGGAGTGAAGAGGAAACACCCAAGTTCACGCCTACAACAGGGGAAGGACAGCACTTTCCACCTTTCCTTTTGAAGCTGAGTGTACAGCAGAGTGCAAACCCCAGGAAGCTTGGAACAGAGTGAACGAGAAAGAATGAGATTCAAAAGAAGTGTGGCCAGCAGGTTAGGGGAGGGGATTCTCCCCCTGCCCTCTGCTCCTCTGAGACCCCCCTGCAGCCCTGATCCAGCTCTGAGGCTGCAGCACAAGAGGGACGTGGAGCTGTTGGAGTGAGTACAGAGGAGGCCATGGAGCTGCTGCGAGGGCTGGAGCAGCTCTGCTCTGGAGCCAGGCTGAGAGAGCTGGGCTGGGGCATCCTGGAGAAGAGAAGGCTCCTGAAGGGGAGACCTTAGAGCAGCTCCAGTGCCTAAAGGGGCTGCAGGAAAGCTGGAGAGGGGCTTGGGACAAGGGCCTGTAGGGACAGGCCAAGGGGAATGGCTTGAACCTGCCTGAGGGGAGACTGAGCTGAGCTTTTAGGCAGAATCTCTTCCCTGTGAGGGTGCTGAGGCGCTGGCACAGGGTGCCCAGAGAAGCTGTGGCTGCCCCATCCCTGGCAGTGTTCAAGGCCAGGTTGGACACAGGGGCTTGGAGCAAGCTGCTCCAGTGGAAGGGGTCCCTGCCCGTGGCAGGGGTTGGAGCTGGCTGAGCTTTAAGGTCCCTTCCAACCCAAACCACTCTGGGATTCCACTAAGTATGGGATAATACTAGGTTGAGGATCTGCTCTCTGGAATGCATATGCATTTTTATAGTAGACTTAACGCTCAATTAAAAGAAATGGAAAGAAAACTGTCCACATAGCACAGGGTGTTCTGTACACAAATACAAACTCTGCATGTTGAGGAGGGCAAAGGAGGTCTGATGATTCCTAGAAGTACATGGGGATCAATTGCACTGGACAGTCGTAACAAGTCCATGTTTATGACAAGGAAGAGAAGGAGGTGCACAACCTTCCCCTGCTAGAGAAATGTCTGAGTCCAGCCTGGCCAGTGACAGGGGCATGAATCCTTTTCATGAACTGGCAAAGAGAAAGCCCATGTGACACATATTATTTTATATGACTATTTGCTAAGTAAGAAAAGAATGTTAAGAACCAGGAACCTAGCCTTTTACCCTTGTAAAAGAGGGAGGATGACTTTTGGCTACACTTTAAATGAGGAATTCAGAAATATATTTGATGTGCTAAAATGTACTGACACCTTCCCTCTGCCTTCAAAATTAGTATTAGGAAGTAGTTCAAATTGCCAAGTTAATGCTTAGAATTCTCTATGGGTTTCTTTTAATCTTTCAGGTATTGGCTAATTTCAGGTAAACGTAATGAGTAAAGGGGGTTTTTCATTAATACAGCTGAAAATTCACCTGTACTTTATTCTACTATATACTATTATGGTTGATAGCATAATACAGTTAAACCTTTTACACCAGATGTCAGGGACACCCCAGATGTTCACTGGTAAGAGAGTGATTTCCCTCTCTCATAACCGGATTTGATCATTTCCTAGATGACTGTGATGGGGGTTGTAGCACAAGCACTTCTATAACCACCCCTCTCCCCGTACCCCAAACTACAGAATCTCCTTCCCAGTACACCCTGCAGGGTGCCAAGGGACACAACTCTGGTACTCACTGGGGGCAACAGGGAGCATCAGCTGTGGAATGAAGTTGGGACTGACTCCCCTCACCACTTCCTTCCCACTCATCTGATGCTGCCCAAGTAACAGTGTTGCTGCACTGGGAAGCCTGAAGTGGCAACCAGGCAGAGGCAAGGACATGGATACACAGGGCACCACAGAGACACCAGGCTCTTGTCAATGCCACCATACAACAGGCACCTGATTTATATTCCCTTTTCTACACCTGGTTTCACGAAGTATTCTACCATTTCTGCATGTATGCTACAGATGATCATTCCTGCTTCTGCTGTGAGGATTTAACACAGTTAAATCACACTGCTAGGAATTATGCATTATTTAAATGCAGAACTTATGCCACATCACACCCGTCCGTACCCTGCTGTTGCACAATCCATGCTGTTTTCCTTTTGCAATGCCTTTAGGAATCAGCGCACACTGAAATCTCTCACGTTGGATCAAGTTGGGTTACGAAACGATCCTTCACTGAGCTATTTTAACAGTGTTGTGTGAAAACCTTTCCTTGTGGATTTGACACTATTTTACATTCAAACCTCACTTCATTCTTAGCCCCACACCTGCCTGGAATCTAAATCAGGGAAACTTTACATAAACTCTGCATATGTTGGACCAGCCTCTCCTTGATGCATTGTAGTGAAAGAACAATACTTTTACATCTTACCGCTTTCAAGTCAATAACCCCCCTCCTTCTGGTACAATTTCACTGCAGGAACAGAGAAAACCAAAGACTAACCTGCATACACGAGCATGGTGATGAGAAGAGCCATCAGATGCACTCTGTATTTGGGGTTAACTCTTTCCGCTCGCAGCAAGGTCAGCTGGAAAACGGCAGAAAAGAGCAGTTCTATGCAGAACGCCTGCATCACTGTAGTCTGCATGGGGCTGCTGCAGCCCTGTGCGAGGGCTCCGGAATGCGCCTCTGCCATCCCCAGGCTCCAGACACAGCGCATGAACACCCTGGCGAGCCCCGCGGCCACGAACTGCGCCGCGATCCTGAGTGCCCCCGCCTTGGGCGCTATCCCCCCGCTCCACATGGGCTGCAGCGTGCCGCAGGGGTTGCATGCGCTGCCGCTCAGGGTCAGGCCGTGCAGGACGGTGAAGCCGTAGGTGAGGCTGAGCGCGACGTGAGGCTTCGGCTCCACGTTGGCGAGCAGGCAGAGCTCGTTCGTGCAGGCACAGATCTGGAAGGTGCTCAGCAGCTCCGTGAGGACGGTGAAAAGGCGGCGGTCCGAGTACAGCCGGCGGCGGAGCAGGCTCTTGCACAGCCCCACGGCCACCACGACGCTGGCCATGAAGAGGAGCGAGACCCCAGGCCCACCGCCAGCCATGGCGAGAGGCTGACAGGACGGAGGGGTTCACCCCGCTACAGCCCCGCCACCTATGGAGAGAAAGCAAGCAGGAGGAGGGAGGGAAATGCCCACCCCTTTCCCTTGCCAGCTTCGGTCCCCACCTGCTCGGAGCCTGCGAGGCGCCTGACTCACCCGCCGCTTGCCGGGAGCAAAGGGCAGGGAGCCGCCTGCACTCGGGGGGATCCCCGCGTCCTCCTGGGAGGAGAAAGGGCTCCCTCTGCGGTGCTGAAGATGACGGGGCGGGAAGAAGGGGGCTCCGCTCTCCCTCAGCGGTGAGGCGGGCGAGCTCCCCTCAGCCAGCCGGAGAGCGGAGCCGGTTAAGGCGGGTCCCGGCTGCCGGCGGAACCGGAGTCGAGCCCCAACCCGTCAGTGGAGCCGGCGGCGCGGCCTCCCCGTCGGCAGCGGTTGGAGGGGAAGCTCCGTCCCCTCAGCGGGGTGAGGGGAACCGGCCCCCGCCTCCTCCTCAGCCGGGCCCGCCGGCAGCGAGCGGGAGGGGAGCGGGAGCGCGCATGCGCGGGGCACGAAATGGCGGGGGGGGGACGGGAGTCGGGGTGTCTGTTCGGTCCCGCACACGGGACGGCGGCGCTGAGGGGCTCTGTGTGTGTTAATTCACGTTAATGAGTAATTAACAGGCCAAGGGGAACGGCTTGAACCTGCCCGAGGGGAGACTGAGCTGAGCTCTTAGGCAGAAGCTCTTCCCTGTGAGGGTGCTGAGGCGCTGGCACAGGGTGCCCAGAGAAGCTGTGGCTGCCCCATCCCTGGCAGTGTTCAAGGCCAGGTTGGACACAGGGGCTTGGAGCAAGCTGCTCCAGTGGAAGGGGTCCCTGCCCGTGGCAGGGGTTGGAGCTGGAGGAGCTTTAAGGTCCCTTCCAACCCAAACCAGTCTGGATTCTATGACCCTATGAAATCCAGAGCCATCAACACATCAGGTCTTGGTAAGTTTGGGAGTAAAAGAGCATTGGGGAAGCCCAGCTTCCAAGAGGATCATTTGGCTGTGACAAACAGGGATGTTTTTACCAGGAGGGGTTAAAACCAGCAGTTACAATGATAACGTAAAGAGAGGGAAGGCGAAACTGGCAGAGTCGTTCCTATCTGGCTTTTTGGTTTATACAAGATCAGATGTCAAGAAAGGTGACTGAGGTAAGGCAATAGACTTGATGGTGTTGGTCATTATGAAAGTCCTGAAGCACCTTCCTGAAGCCCCTGAATTGAAGCAAGTGCTTTTCCCAGCAAGGATGTTCTGTAGCTGTACTGTGGAAGAACAGGTACATAGGATCATAGAATCATAGAATGGGTTGGGTTGGAAAGGACCTTAAGATCATCCAGTTCCAACCCCCTGCCATGGGCAGGGACACCTCCCACTAAACCATGGCACCCAAGGCTCTGTCCAACCTGGCCTTGAACACTGCTAGGGATGGAGCATTCACAACCTCCTCGGGCAACCCATTCCAGTGCCTCAGCACCCTCACAGTAAAGAACTTCTGCCTTATATTTTGCAGAGAAGAGATTCAGAGCAGCCCTGAGGAGAAGGACTTGGGGGTGCTGGTCAATGAGAAAATGAACATGAGCCGGCTTCAGTGTGCGCTTGCAGCCCAGAAAGCAACCGTATCCTGGGCTGCATCAAAAGGAGCGTGACCAGCAGGTCGAAGGAGGTGATCCTGCCCCTTTATTCTGCTCTTGTGATACCTCACTTGGAGCATTGTGTGCAGTTCTGGTGTCCTCAACATAGAAAGGACATGGATCTGTTGGAACAAGTCCAGAGGAGGCCGCGAGGATGCTCAGGGGCTGGAGCAGCTCCTGTATGAAGATAGGCTGAGAAAGTTGGGGCTGTTCAGCCTGGAGAAGAGAAGCTGCGTGGAGACCTCAGGGCAGCTTCCAGTGTCTGAAGGAGGCCTATAGGGATGCTGGGGAGGGACTCTTCATTAGGGACTGTAGTGATAGGACAAGGGGTGATGGGGTCAAACTGAAACAGGGGAAGTTTAGATTGGATCTAAGGAAGAAGTTCTTTACTGTTAGGGTGGAGAGGCACTGGAATGGGTTGCCCAGGGAGGTTGTGAATGCTCCATCCCTGGCAGTGTTCAAGGCCAGGCTGCACAGAGCCTTGGGTGCCATGGTTTAGTGTGAGGTGTCCCTGCCCATGGCAGGGGGTTGGAACTGGATGATCTTCACGTCCTTTCCAACCCTAACTGTTCTATGATTGTATAATATGGGAATCCAGCGTGGTGTTATGTAGTGAAGCACAGCCATTTGTGTTCTTCCTGTTCTTGCAGGTTGCCAGAGAACACAAGTTATTGCCAGCCTGGTTTTGCACCTCAGACAGTTGCTTACGGCCAGTCATCAATGTGTCATTTCCAAACACAGCAATAGGGTGAATGTGCCAGTTCAAGGCACGCTCTCAAGGTGGAACACGGAAGTGTGGGCTGGAATTGGTTGTATTCCTAGGTACTTTTTAAGCGTAGTTGGCACCAACAGCACGAAGAAGGGGTCAAACAAACCCCAGTTCCCTGTACGACCGGCTCCAGCGGGTGTTTTACCTTCCCGGTGTACATAGAACCGTGGGTTTGACCACCAGAGGGTAGTGTCATTCCAAACAACTGCTGCTGCCGGTCTCCTAGAGCCGCATCACGGATTCCCTACATCAGTGCGAGCCCTCAAACGTGTAACTTGTAAAAATGAATGTTAAAACCGGTAATGCCCTTTAGAACTCATTTTGCATTGAGTTTCTTGAAACAAAATAAGTTGGGCTCATCATTGTGTGGCTCTCATTCCAGGTTGTCCCCTCCATGTACCAGATTCCCTCATTCTCCTGCCTGCTCCGTTACCTGTTCTCTGATGCTCCCCACTTTCTCTTCCCCTCCTTTCAGACCCTTCCACATCCTTTCCCCTCATTTTCCCTTCCGTGCATATCAGTGCTTGCATTTCCTTTCCTATTTGTGTGTATTCCTACTTTCCTCCTCTGCCCAAGCCCTCATATTTCCTGCGTTTCCCACAGCAGTTACGCAGTTAGCTGTTCTTAGCTCTGTGTACGGCTTCAGCCCCCTTCCTTCCGAAAATTCCCTGATCTCCTTCCTTTTCCTATGGCAGGCTGAGTCATTCGGTGGGTACAACGTGCCAAGAACACTTGGATGGGGTTTGCAGGGGTGAAATTGGGCATTATGGTGCCGGAAGAGGCTGGCAAACGCTTCCAACCACTTTAATGTTAATGAATCCTTGCAAAGGAGTTGAATGTGTCTCAGGGAGTTCCTGTGCTCCTGTTTTCCATGCTGTGGTTTTGTTGGTTTTCCCCCCAAATGAAGCAGCTTCGCACTGACATTGAAAACTTCCCTTGAACTCAATTAGATACAGACACTAAAGGAACCCTTAGTGCCTCCAAACAGAAAAGCCTCGTCGAGCACAGGCCCTGGCAAGCAGGAGCACAGCTTTCCTTAGCAAGGGGCTGTGGAGGCTGAAGATGTTTCCCCTTTCTGGCTGCTCTTCACAGGGGTTGAAGGACGGTGCCAGACTTTGCTCTAGAGGGCACTGGGAAGCTCTGCTGCACTCACTGCTGTGGGTCCTGGTGGGTGGGTGATAGGAAGGAGCCAGGAATGATGACACTGGGGAATTGCTCGCTACACACATGAGCTTTTTGGATGATAGATCTAAAAGTGCTTGATATCAGCGCAAGAAATGCCCCTGCATGTGCAGACTGTTGCTTTAAGGAGCCGGTGAGGGTATTAGCGCAGGTCAAAGCATGAAAAATGTCCATGTTCCTGAAATCTCTGCTGATACCAGCAAGCCAAACAGCATCAGGGATGTTCCTGAGCACTGGAGCTCCATTGTTTCTACTGACTCTCATTAATCCTTCCATGGTTTTAGCCTGGGCCAATGAGCAGCTTCCCAAAATACTCCAGGGCATGGTTTGGGGGATACATGCTGCCACCCCCAGTGTGTTTCTGATTACTTCTTCAGGCTCTCATAGACTCGATGTTAGACATCCTGTGCCAGTTGGCCCCAGGGGCAGAGACTGGTCCCAGACTTGTTTAATTTACCAGTGTGGGTGTAATGATAGTGATTAGGCCCAGCCTGAAACTGGGATTTGCAAACCCTGTTGGGTTTAGGCAGCAGTAATGGGAGGGAAGTTAAGAATCACAGGATGGTTTGGGTTGGAAGGGACCTTTAAGCTTATCTAGTTCCTTAAAGCTCATCCAGTTCCAACCTGTGGCAGGCGTATTGGAACTAGATGAGCTTTAAGGTCCCTTCCAGCCCAAACCATGCTGCAATTCCATGATTCAGGTATGTTTCTAAGTAATTCTGCAGTGCCCTTTTCTGTTTCCTCCCCAGTAGCTTGCTACTCCTGCAAGGGCACCATCGGTTTGAAATGATATTTTAACATTAAATATAAGTTAAACCTCGTAAAAGTGTGAAGTTGTCCTTAAGATCCATGCACAGGGGGGTTTAGCTGCTTATAAACATACATTTCTTGTTTAGAAAAGGTAACTTAGATCCATATTTCCAAGAATTGTAAATGCTAAAAAGCCAGTAGAAGAAGAGAAGGCTCAGGGGGGACCTGATGGCTCCCTACAAGTGCCTGACAGGAGGATGGAGCCAGGAGGGGCTGGGCTCTGCTCCCAAGGAACAAGGGATGGGACAAGAGGAACCGGCCTCAAGCTGCACCAGGGCAGGTTTAGATGGAGCTGAGGAGCAATTCCTGCCCCAGAGGGTGCTCAGGCATTGGAACAGGCTGCCCAGGGCAGGGCTGCAGGCACCGGCCCTGCAAGGGTTCACACCCCGTGGAGACGAGGCCTCAGTGCCATGGGGCAGTGGTGGCCTTGGCAGTGCTGGGGTAAAGGTTGGACTGGATGAGCTTAAAGGGCTTTTCCAACCCCGTTGGTTCCATGATTCTAAGGCCCTGAGGGGAACTGACTGCTTTTCAAGTGTATTCAGAACAACAGTCTCCAAACCAACAAACTGGTACAAATCCAGTTTCAAGGCTAGAAAGAAGGTTAAGAAGGACTGTGTTGTCTCACATAGCACTAACATCTATTCAAATAGAGTTGAGTTAGAACCTTGGACTCCACATGCTTCTTAGCACCCTGCTTTTGCTCCTAGCAAAACACTTGAGCTCTATGAAAACATCTTCAGCCTGGTTCATACTCACTTTGGACTTTGTCCTTCACAGA